TATATATATATATATATATATATATACATATGCATATATATATATACATCACACACACATACATACACACATACACACACCCATGTATATATATCATTCATTTACATGTACACATACATATAGTTTTAGTAATAGATATAGATACACATATATATATATATATATATAGGTTCGCGAATCGATGACTAAAGCGAACGATCTCCATGTATACAAAAATACTATCCGAAGCTTACTTTTCAGCGTTTTGACGACCAGTTCGTGTTCCGAGCGTTGTATCTCTAAATCAGATATTTTATTTGCAATTGATTGTTGTTCTTGGCGCATAATGTTGAACTTTGCCAGAAGTTCTTGTTCTTTCTCTGCTCGCCCAGCCATATTGGTATAAGATTATTGTGTGGATGTTCTATCTTCCAACAACGGGACAATCCTTTATAAGTGCAAATGCAAACAAGAAGAGTATATTATATATATATATATGTATGTATATTATATATTTGTATATATCAACACGCACATATACATATGTTAAAAATGTATGTAACTATGTATTATATTTATACACATATTTATTTATAAAAAAGTGTCACGTATATTTTGAGTAAAAAATTATCAAAAAAAAATACTCAATGTCGATTTTGCCGCCTTCTCCAGAGTACAGTACATACCAGCAGTACGATATAGAAAATTGAATTGAAACAAGATGTTTCGTATTTCAAATACCCTAAACTAAACTATTTCCACTTCCTCTCTCTATAGTTTCTCATAGGAAAAAGGTTTACGACATGTTGTTTGAAATTCATACCAGCTGATCCCGGTTTAGATCCATCTCATTGCGTGACTGGCTCCAGCTCGTAGCCTGCACATGACCTGATCTGGTTTGTTTATTTTTTCTGGAAATAATTTCGACCACGGAATGAGTTGGATTGGATTGGCCCATTGGGCTCGCAGAACAACCCGCATGGTTGACTGTGGGAATATGACAAGAGATGTATTGTGCTGCGAGAGTATTGCTGAATTGTGATTACCGATATTCTGGGTATCTACAGTATATTCCAAGGTTATAAGCTAAGCTATATACTATCCGATATACAATCTTGTATAGGTCTGTGTTAGTATCTGTGTAAGCATATACGGCAAGGATAGTCTGAGAGGACTAACTTACACACACACACACACGCACACCCGCACTTAGCCACGTGTACGTGTACATATACACGTTTCACTGCCATCATGGCGAAGTATGATCTGACCTCCACTATCGCCGAGTATCTCGATCGGCACATGGTGTTTCCCTTGCTTAAGTTCTTAGTTCTGAAGGAGTTATATCCTGCTGAAGAAATCCTTACTGTCAAGCTAGACTTACTTGAAAAGACTTGCATGGTGGATTACGCAGCCGACATATACAAGGGATTGCACGGTTTAAATGAAGGCGATGCCGCACCCGAGTCATTCTCTGAACGCAGAGAACAAGTACTTACTAAGTTGGCTGAGCTACAGCAAAGTACAGCGCCTCTCACACAGGCCTTGGAGCAAGACTGGGTGCTCCAGGAGCTGAGACAGGACAAACGTTTTAACCAGGAGTACCTGACAAATACCGTCAAAGTCGATATGGCGTGTCTGGATAAGCTGTACGAGTTCGCCAAGTTCCAGTTTGATATTGGAAATTACTCGGTTACGGCAGAGTACCTAACCAACTTCCGTGTATTGGTATGTGGAGTTTGTTGGTATATGTATATCTAACAGGGATGTTATCGCGTCGATCAATATAGGTACACGCGTATACATATATATATATATCATACACACACACAGTTACTTACCTATATATATATACATATATATAATCAAACCCGTCCATACTTTACCTTTATCGGGAATGAATGTTTGTTATAGCTACGTCCGTCATGTGTCGACTTGTATACGTATCTGTAATTTCTTGTGAATGGGTGCTTGATTTTTAAGCCACATAGTCTTAAACTAGTTATTGTATGTTGGTTACTAATCAGAACTTGATTAGAACGTACGCGCTTGCTTGGGTCTTTAGTGAATTCATAGTATACCCACATACAACACACATACTTATAAGTGTATACATACACATATATAAATATATATATATGGGCAGCAGTATATTTAACTATTCTGGCGTGATACTGGCAGCGTGTCTGAAAGGTGCGTCCAGTGCATATTTTGACCTGCGTGTATGTCTTGCTTTCTGGACACCTCGTGTTCGTATATATGATGGTACTTCAACCCGAGCGCGTGCCCTACTCTGTTGACCGCTTGCTACATAAACCTCGAGGACTACTTATCTGTTGGACGCATCAGTGCAAGTGCACGCGGTGAAGTTGTTGTTTCTTATATATACTGGATATATACTCTTGCACTGTATGACGATTTGAAGACGGGAACATGCCACAAGTACATTATAACACGTGTGGCTGCCAGTTGTTGGAATGATTAATATGTTTAGAACGCAACTCTTACGTGTGCTTGACGTGTGTGGATTACCAGCCCGTATTGCTGCAGACATATCTATTCGTAGGCTGATTCTTTTGCCCTATACATATCTATTTGTAGGCTGATTCTGATTCCCTATACATATCTACTTGTAGGCTGATTCTGATTCCGTATACTCTACTTGTAAACTGATTCTGATTCCGTATCCGAATGATACGTTTCTCTCGCATGTATTCGATGGGAGTTGTTAGCTGTGTGGCTCGCTTGTGCCTGTAAAAGGCCTTCGTGTATATGTTTTGTAGTGTATAGATGCGTAGGAGCTTATAAGCAATATATACCAAATTTTCAATTTTGGTACTCCGTTTGAAATTAAGGACCTAAATATGTCGCGGTAGCAATTTATGGGCATTTCGCTTGTTTGTTTGTCCCGTTTTGACTATTTGATTTGTGATTCGATCTCAATTTGGTGGATGGATTGTAGTTTCAAAAATTATCTGATGCACAACGCTAAAAGTATGTAGATAGTCGGAGCGTATTATACTTCCACACCAAAGTTTTTATGTTACTTCATAGTAGCTGTAGACACCCTGTGTGTTGAGGTGGTCTATTCTCGTATCATGTGTATGCGTTAAAATTAAATACCTCGCATACGCACTAATCTCTATTTATGTGCCTGTATGTGTAACGCTACGCACGTGATGTCAAAATCCTCTCCTCCCGAGTAGTTGTTTTGGTAAATTCAGCGAGAAGAAACTTACTGTGAATAATGTAGCGGTACGTCTACGCCACACTATTTTAAAAGGGGAACTATGATTACCCCGTGGGGGGATCATGGTTTCTCCACTTCCTTACACTTGGCGATGATATAAAGTGATAAATAAATGCGCTTTCCATATTTAAACTTAACATTTGTATATATGACACGCGTGGCTGTGTATGCTTGCGCGTGTGTGTGCGTTACATGCATATATATAAATATACTTCAGTTTATATATATTCTCGGTTTTTTACAATTCAATAACAGTCTTTGGACGCGGATAAGTGTCACGGCGCACTATGGGGCAAATTCGCCTCAGAGATTCTCATGCACAACTGGGACACCGCAATGGAAGACCTAAACAGGCTCAAGGAGTCATTAGACGAGAATAAGAGTGGTATGTTGTGTTCGTCCGACATCATTATATATATCTTTGTATTTGTGTAACATATGTATATGTAAGTAGAAGGGGGAAAGTTGACCTCGTTCACATATATAATCGAAGCCAAACAAGCCATGTGATCACTGGGTGAGACCTATAGATGGTAAAATACCCGTATAAACATACTCAAAGGGCCGTATATATTAGGAATAGCAGTGATTGCGCATGTCTGCACATCGTAGTGAAGTCCCATCACTTGCACCGCATCGAACGACCCTATAGGTCTGGAAGAGCGTCATAGATAAATACTCATGGTCGCTGTATTACAATACCACACATGTCACCTACATAAACACGACTTTTAATTCGGCAATGACCACCACCGTCTTGCAGGGTCGGCTCTCGAGCAACTGCAGCAGCGCACGTGGTTGTTGCACTGGAGTCTGTTCGTGTTCTTCAACCACGAGAAGGGACGTGATGGCATCATCGAGATGTTCTTCCAGCCTCAGTATATCAACACCATCCAGACCACTTGCCCACACATTCTGCGATACCTGACCGCCGCAGTCATCTGCAACACGAGACGGAACTATGTCGTCAAGGAGCTTGTAAAGGTGTGTGTGTGTGTTCATCGCAATTGGATTGGGATATGTGGTGTGAGGGTTTGATTTCTACTTATTGTCGGGTTGGGTGATTTGGGTTGTTGGACCGGAAGGTTGTGGTGTGGAATACATCATAGTAAGAGTTTAGGGTCTAAAACATTGTAGTAAGTAGTCTGGTTGGTTAATTAGTCAGCAACAGACTGAAAGGCATGTAGGTTCTAATATTGAATATACTTCACCTGTATCGAATACACCTTGCTCTATGGGCCCACTGGCGGGTTGTCGGTTGTGTAAGCACAATCACTCGCTAAGGATTAGAAATATAGATGCTAAGGAGTCATCGCTAAGGATACATGTCAATCTTTTGTAGCCTCGGTATGCTGGAATTGATATTACATTTTGCGGAACTCTTTGAATATATATATATACGCATAAAATACACACACTTATATATATAGCGCTTGCCCTCCGATGTTTTTCTACGGATATATGTTTACATATCACTACCTATATTTATATTCGACAGGCCATCCAGCGCGGATCCAACCAATACCGCGATCCTATCACAGAGTTCCTTGAGTGTCTGTACGTCAACTTCGACTTCGAAGGCGCACAGCAGAAACTGCGTGAGTGTGAAGCGGTTCTGGAGAACGACTTCTTTCTGCTCGCGTGTCGCGACGAGTTTATTGAGAACGCGCGTATGTTCATCTTCGAGACGTACTGTCGTATTCACCAGGTAAATCTTGTGGATATAATATATACATATATATTTATAGGAATGTGTACATTGGTGTTTGATACGAATTGTTAATTATATCAACATATTCATGTTTGGCTTGTATTTTTTGTGCATTGTGGAAAGAACGGGTGTGTTTCTGGAGACACGTCGATGATTGTTCAAATAAAGCAGTGAGCTTAGTCTTCGTCTAAATTATTTGTGGCTTTCTTTATGGACACTCTCTATACACACACACTGCGATAGACATAGAAGGTACCTGTTTGTACGGTATATTCGTGCCTTAGTACAAGTATGTCAGATTGTTAATCTACCAGGTCTTTGTATAACCTAGAATGCGCACAGTGAAACCGGTGACTCATTAATATCGAATATATACGTGGACACTGGATTGGTATGTTCGTATGACTAACTGTCCAAATCCGGCAAGTGTGTAAAATTGTACAGAAATTTGTCATATGCTATACTTGCAGCTACCAGATGTCACCCGTTTTAGCCTTCAAGTGATCTTTATCAACAGATTCATATTCTGCACGCATCCATACATAAATTTATGTGGGTATATATATATATTGTAGTATTTTGTTATGTCATGTACATACAGTTATACAAGCATGCAAATATTTTGAATTTGCACTTTGTATTAAATATATTGCAACCCCCGCCCTCGCCCAGGTGATATCTATCAACAGCCTAGGCGAGAAGCTCAACATGACCACGGACGAGGCAGAGGTGTGGATTGTAAACCTCATCAGGAACGCGCGCTTGGATGCGAAGATTGACTCCAAGATGGGTACAGTTATTATGGGTAGCCAAGTGCCTTCCGTATACCACCAGGTCATCGAGGCTACAAAGGGACTGTCGTTCCGATCGAGTGCGATGATTGAGACGATTGAGAAGAAAGCAAACTCTTCGAAGTCCAGCTCGGTATGTGCTTCAATAGGCCTGTGTGTATTGTGTGTCCCAAGTAGTCTAGTATATATATGTACATGGGAGTTGTATGTATCTATGCTTGTAGTATTCATGACAGCCAGATATATAAAGAAGGCAACATATTCAAAATCCAGCTCATTTTGTGCTTAATTTTTAAGTTTAGTCCACTTATGAGTGTATGATGGGTATTGTACATGTTTATCATCGTGTTTGTGTAGATGCCGTTTTCTGCTGCATGCCCGTTCTCCGTTTAATATTCGGTACCTACTTACCTATCAAAGGGACGCTCGTACCTAAATACAAGGATCCATACTCATTCCCTACTCTATGTATATATACAACCGTACAGATGGGTGCCGACTTCTAAGCCTCTGGTCTGCGAAGAGCACTTTTAAAATTAGATTGTAAATTGAATGCATTGTGGGCCCAGCCTCTCTGTTTGCCATAGCTCGGGAGTCCACAGTCGCCGAACTTCGGAGACTGGAGTCGTAGTCTATATATATAGCACACGTGTTCTATTTATAGTAGGTCACCACGACACGCACGGGGCCTCGGTCGCCCGCACTTATAGATAGAAAAGAGCGCTGAACCGCACTTACACCCACCGTTTACTATAGTACAGAACTTCGGGTCAGGTATGAGACTCGAGAGTTTGTGCTGACTAGTAGGTAATAAAAATATGGACGCACCGCCGTTTCGGCTGTTCGAATGCAAGTGCAGTTGTGGTTGTGACTCCGTAGGGGGTGGACAATTCCTAGCACTATTTAGTACAAGACTATATAGAGTTTTAGACTGTTTTGGGTTGTTCCAAGACGTTCATGTCCCGAGTATTCGTATGTTTTATTTCGAGTATGTCGGATTGTCATCTCTAAGCAATGAAGCAGCTTCTAATTGTTAGCTCAATAACAAGTCGGTCCAGGCTGGTGTGCTGTACAAAACAGGGGCTGTGGGACGAGACTGTCTGATCTCTTCAAGTGATCTCTCCACGGTGTGTATTGCTCTCTGATGGGGCTGGCTGACAGCAGTCTTGAAAGCCTCTACTATCCAATCCAAACTGTTTTACTTTATATAATATTTTTTAATTACTCTTGATAAATACATGTACATACGATATGTGCACGTATCATGCGTTGATTTTCAAGATCGAAGCCGAGGAGTATTCTGTATGTACTAAAAGGGCGGCTGTTAGATCACTGATGTATTTGAAGGCTGTTCTCGGTTTTCACACCAGCGACCAAAGTACATGCGTATCTATGTTGTATGCGAGTGTATAGGTATCTATGTTATTTATGTGTGGGTACAGTTTATATAGTGTACGGGATTACGTACATAAGGGTAGTTTATGGACAATTTGTCGCTACTCTGCACTATCGCCACATTGTCACAACTCTAGAGCGGAATGCGCGAAACCTTATTATAAACCTGATTTTTATTTATTCGATGTTTATCTCTATTTTCTACGATTGATTGTTAAAATACGGACTCAAATCCCCGATTGCTTTGCAAGAAATTCGGTCTGCCCCGATTCTGCATTTGGCTCTATAGTTCAATCCAGGCACCGCTTGAATTTCCGGAATTGGAATTCATTTTTTTAGCCCACATTTTTGGAATTAAATCCCAAATAGCTTCGCCAGAAACTTGGCCTGTCCCGATTCTACGTTTGAGCCTATAGTCACATTGGCTGCCGCCTTCGTTTCCACACGACCGTTCCCCATCGCACAGCCCAGTCCAGATGCTCTGAGCATCTCTTTGTCGTTGTTCCCGTCTCCGAAGGTCATCACACGGCTGATATCTACCTGAGCGGCCGAACGCAGGGTATATATCATGTTGTATATATATATACATAGGGTATATATATGTATGTATTTTATATCAATAATTATGTATGTTCATAGTGGATAGCATAAACTCACTAACACAGCTATACGTGATTGTAATAGATGCTTGTAGTTGTTTTCGTATGTACGTATGTGATGAGATCACCAATGCACAACGGAAGTCCTCCCGAATCTGAGTTGTGTTTGAAAGTGGAATATATGACCACGGCTGTAGGTAGACGGCGAAGCCATGAAAATGAATCTGATATACTTTGGGCCTCTAAATGACGGCCAATGAGATGTACGACCATCGAAATTTAAACGCTCGGAATTCCATACGCACATACGAGCCGGGTATCACTGCTACTGACTACTCCAATGAGATACGAACGACCCACTCATGGGGAAGAAGGGCAAGATACGGAAGGCAAGAAAGCCAGGTCACTTATACCGGATGGTAGTGCACAAGGGGTGGCCGCACCCCATTGGCACATGACTGATCCGCGTGCATTTGTTAATAAACCATGCGGGCAAGTATTTGTGGAATCCAGCTTGGTATCGTATGTCTATGTACTTACGTTCATCAACCACTTCAGGATGTGCTAGAAAATGGGTCCGTGCCGTCCACGACGACGCTCAAAAAAGGACATCACAACATACAGTCCTTTAATCACACCCTGGCTAGACACCAGCCGCGTAACATACCTTCAGCATATCGCACACGTTTTGTAGAGCGACGGCTTTATTCATCCCAAACGGAAGAAACTCTATCATACCCTATAAATGTATTAGTGTAGTGTTAACATTCAGACCGGCATGGTGAGGATATGACAGATTAGTAAGATGTATCAGAAATTCCTGAGCATGCCTCTGTCACTCTAGTTATCGACAGATAGAAGCATCAACGCATGCCGATATGGAAGTACATACATCATCAGACATAGGGCATTGATGCCGCGGACTGCTCATGTGCATAGATACTTGAAATGCACGTTTACAGGCATACATACACATACACTTCTGTATGCTTGCATATAGGCACGGACATGTATATACTTACACAGACAAACGCACACGCATCACGCACACTTGTATATCTCAGTGGATACGAGTGGTGCACAAACTCGGTCAAACAAGAGGGGGTGGATATTGACCACCTTCAACCCTCAGTGGATGGCCCATTTTTCACACACGTTTTGCAAGGAGCTAGGCTACCTCCATTTCCTCT